TCGGTGTGAAGTATCTTTACGTGCAAGAAATATGAATCTACCAGATTTGGACTTTTATTATTAGGTCGGTTTTCAGGAATTTTCTCGAACAATTTTTGGGCTTACAATAAAGGCCCAGATATTCAGAGTTGGGCTGATTTATATTAAACCGAAATTGGCTAGTTGCGACATTTTATTCGAAAATTAAAAAGAAAGGTAGAAAGTCTTAAAAATTTATAAAATGAAATTTTTTGATATATATTAAATAAAAGAACTAAAATTAATTTCCTATGTACTTTTATACAAAAAAAAATCACATGATATATATAGATATCTTCTTTTTATTATACTTANATATGTATTCGAATTTGCACTTTAGCAGCATGACTAGGTTAATGTTCCCAAATGTAATTAGTTTAGTAGCGTCGTAGCGACATCATTGGGTTGGTGATATACTACTGCAAGAAGCGTTAAAGACGAGAAAAAGTTCAAGTATTGTGACGAAATATTTGTCTCCCTATACAAAAACCCAAACGCAAGGAGCTCATCGAAATCATGAAGGTTAGCAGTTGATATTAGGCTGCTGCATATCTAAGTATGGAGAAGCTTGTTGACCTCACTTGCCAGACGCTGGATCTGATTAGAAACAAAAGTCCCTGAAGAAGAAGCCAACGATGTGGCAATATTAGAAAAGTAGGTTTCTTGAGTCTACAAATAATAACAACATTATTCATATAACTTTATCTAATGTGATTAAGAGCATGCGAGGAACATGAATAGATCGTTAATTTTACGATCCAGAAATCTTCAAGGTGCAAAATAGAGAGGAAATTACATTTATCATTTATTCACCTGATTCGTCAAAAGGATATTACAATAATGGCGATCAGATGAAAGATCACTTTAATTTGTCTAATTTATTTACGGTACATTATTGATAAATGTTTGAGATTAACTGAAATTAAGAATGTTATTGTTTTTTCCTCTTACTTTTGATGGTCAATAAAAGATCAATACCTAAAACTTTTTTTTTAATTTTCTTTTTACAATATCATTTTTTTTTTAAAACAACTTAACCATGAACCGCTAAATCAAAGTATGAGTCGTTGC